TCTAACCGATCATTACAGCACGATAACATACTATCACATAACAGGATATCTAATCCAATGGGCCGACCTTGGTGCCTTCGACTCGTAAGTACAGTGAGAAAAACTTACATCATAGGCTGGACAAAAGCTGATGAGGTCTCGACTCCGAATCTCAGCTCTAACCGTCACCTATCCAACCAATTAATCAATCATAATCAAAATCCCAAAATACCCAAAATACCATAACGTCAAACTTGATCAAAGTCAAAGTCAAACCAATCAAATCAACTGAGTCATCCGAGTCAACCCAGTCAAGTCAACTCGACCGAGTCACCACAGAGTGAGTAGATAGGGCGTACTCCAAATGTATGATGGGTGTACTCGCATGTTGACCACCATCGGGGTGGTTGACCTCGTACGCAAGGCATACTTCAGGTACGCGGAGCGTACTCCTAGTATCCCATAAATCTTAATAAGTGCTTAATGGATATGCAAAATCATAAAGTTAGAAATGTTATGACTCTTGAGGGTATTTTAGCCATGGATTTGAAATATGGACGTGATACCATATTTGGTTATATATTTTATGGTATATTTCAAAGTTTTTAGCAACATTTAGTGTTAATTTAAAGATAAAAGGTAATTATAATGTAAAAATTATATTTTGTAGTAGAGAAGACATGCTTGGGATAGAAGAAGCAGACATGTGGAGTTGGAAGCACGATTGCTAGATAGATTCATCTAATGTCAACTTTTTGAAGAAACTGAAGTCCCACCACGTGGCCACAGTCTCCACGACGTGAATATCTATTCTCCATGGCATGTCGACTATTTTATGCAAAGTATAAATATCGACTATTCTTCAAAACCTAACTTATGAAACAAGTTTCTTCCGACTTTCGATGACCAGAGACACCTCTTAGAGCCTGTGGAGATCAAAATTCGATTAGAGAGCTTTATTTTAAGAGACCGAAGGCACAATCACATCTAATTACTCAGTTTGCTTTGTTATAAACATGTGTTTAATTTCAAAGTTTGCTTTGTTTTTATCTATTTTTTTGCTATAGTTATCGGCTAAAACCCTTTTACTTTTGTTTAATGTAGATGAACTTTGAACCTATGTTTTGATTTATTGATTTTGGATTCAATATGGTTTCTTATTTATTATGAGCTTGTTAAATATCCTTATGTGTTAAAGTCTCTAACTTTTATGTTTATTGCTGAGTATTGTTAGGATTAGATGATATATATATATATATATATATATATATATATATATATATATATATATATATATATATATATTGATGTGCTTGAATCTTACGATTTTATGAAGAATAAAGTTGTAGGATTAGAGTTTTGAACAAAAACTTAGGGTAATATAGAAAAGTTGGTAACTTTGATGTGTGAGATGTTAAATGATGAATATTTATATACAAAATAGGTATTAACTAACATTAATATCAATTTAGGTTTAAAGTCTTGCATCATCGAACTAAACACTGGTTTATTTGATTGTTTTTCCACTTGGTCACTAAATAAACTGTATTATTAAACCAAAGGATTAATACCTTGAGCATTTTACTAGTCATTATAGGAATTAGTAGTTAATGAAAATTGAATCCATTGTACTATCCATAAATAACACATAAGGAATAGGTTAATCGAATCTAAAAGGAAGTACTATTTTAAATCTTGTTTTCAAAACTGTTTTCTACTTTGTCTTTAGTTTAAGTACTTGTTTGCTATCTCAAAAGTTAATTGTTTGATTTAAGTTAATGATCTTGCAAAATCAGTGAAGACCCAAATTATTAGTTATTATCGTTAGTTTAATTATTAGTAGTGATTTTTAGCTAACCCTAAGTTCGACACCTTTCTTACGTTTACTATACTATTACACGACTACGTATATTGTCTAATTGTGTTTTACTGATTTAGATTTGATAGGTTAAATAAATAGAATACGTATCAAGTTTTTGACACCATTACCGGTGAACAATTTAAATTTAGTTGAATTTTTTACTATTAGTTTTCCTATCCTTTTGTGGGGTAAAGTCCACAAAAATTAAAATTTTAGTTTTATGATTTTTCATTACCCACGTTGTTGTGACTTCCTCTCCATGCCATGGAAACAGATTTCTAGTTTTTATTTTTATTTCATTTTTGTTCGTTTTACATGTTTCCTTTTGTTTTATTTTAGCAGTACAAGACCAGGTGATCCTCTTTGAAGATTGTCACCGGTTTTAGTGATTCAAAATTAGAGTTCTATAAGAGAAAGAAGGGAAATAAAGAAGAAGCTTACAAAATAGACAATACCGATTTGAAAACCAAATCCAAAACCAAGGACGAAAACGAAAAAGAAGACACCATGGCTGATAATGCAGTGATGACCATGGAGGAGTATAACCATAGAATGCAAGAAGACAATGAACCTGGTCTTTTGCCACCCAAAACTCCAACCGTGACACATTTCGAGCTCAAGGGACACATCCTCAACATGCTTAAGGATATGCCCTTTCCGGGAAAGACCACGAAGATACCTACAAACACATTGATGAAGTTCTAAAGATTGCGGATTACTTGAACATGCCCAATATAAATAGAGATGTGGTGATGTTAAGGATTCTCCTAATCACACTAAAAGGGACAACTAAAGATTGGTTAAATTCACTACCACCTATAACAATCAGTACATGGGTCAATCTAAGGGAGCAATTCATATAATAGTTAAACCTACCATCTAAGATTAAAATGCTCAAGAAGAATGTCTAAAACTTCTAACAAGTTGATGGGGAAGCGTTGTATGAAGCTTGAGAGCGTTACAAAGGAATGCTATAAAATTTCCCACAACACGACTTAAGCGTGCAATAAGAATTTTCTACGTTCTATAATGGCATCAATGTTTACATAAGGAAACTTTTGGACCTTAAAGATAGTTAACTAAAAAGAATCCTACAACAAAAAAAGAGCTAATTGGAGGATTTGTGAAAATTCCCACGAATACCATAATCCTAGAGATGATGTCACACGGGGAAACAAAATGGAGATGGAGATTCAAAAATCTTAGCATCTATAGTAAAAAAACATGACACCATGGGTCAACGAATAATGAAGATGGGGCAATCTATACATGCAATCCAAGTCGGATGCGATAATTATAGGGGTCCACATTTAGCCAAAGATTGCGACTTGGCTGAGAATGGAAATTAAAAGGCTCAAGTTTTCTACTCGAGTGGTGATAAGTATGATGATGATTAGAGGAAGCCTAAGAAAGAGTGGAAGCCATACGATGAATACAAGAAGGAGAAGGAAGAGCGGTATAGGCAACAAATGTAACATCCCAAAATCACAATAATTTTTTTTTCATTTTTAATTAAATAGAAATTATTAATTTGAATTAACCCAAGTCATATAAACCTAAGATCAAGTACAAATGTTCCAAAACGAATGTGTGATAACATCTCCGAACATATCACTAACGGATGTGTACGACCATGCCTTTGCTTTCCCCCGATCATCTGAAGTACCTAGAACATAAAAATTTAACTGTAAGCCAAAACTTAGTGAGTTCCCCCACAAAGTACCACACACAACCAATACATATAATACTATGCATATATGAGCCTTCAGCTTGACTAGACCGCCTCATAGGGCCTACAACCTATCTGGACTGCTCTCTGGGCCTTTGGCGTGACTGGACCACTTCTTGAGCCTTTAGTCTATCCGGACCGCCCCGGGTATCTTGGACTTCAGCACAAAGTAGGACCTCTTTAACCTAACAAACCATAGCATGATTAGATGTATAATAACACTCAATAACCAACAATATAGGCAATCATATAGATCTACCAATGTACCATATACTCCGTGAACATAGGTAATCAGACAGATCTGCCAGTCTATCATATTACCAACATAACATCCATCCAATAAACCCGAATACATAATCCAGTGGGCCGACATTAGTGCCTTCGACCCACAAGTAAAATGAGGAAAACTCACCTTACCGTTTGAAAAGATAGCAGAAAGAACACTGCTCCAAGTGCTAACTCTACATGTCACCTATACAACAATGTCCTATACTCAAACTTCAACGCATAATACCCAAAATGCCCCTAAGTAGAACTTAGAAAAACTCAACTCTCAATGGTCAAAAGTAAAAGTCAATTCCAATTAGTCGCTATGCTTTGGCCATCCCTGGCCACGCACTGGCAGCAAAACGACAAAATAGTCGGCTCTAGCCTAGTTTCCACGCCGTGGCAACCTAAGGCCATGTCGTGGGCACTGGGTTCCAAAACAACTTATTGGTTAAGTCATTTTCATTGATTCTAAGAGCTTTATAGCTCAGATCTGGTCCATTCCATGGTCTAAAGGGATAAATTTTCCTACTTTATTCCTTAAGATACCTCAATAAGTCAAGATCCTAGACCCTAACTCCTAAGGACAACTTAATGCATCAAGACTCTCATTAAGCACCCAATAAACCCTAAAGATAGTGGCATTATGGACATGCATGTCAAATGCGTATTGTTAGGATATTAATCCTTGAAAGATCGATTAGATTAAAAAAAGTTTGAAAAAAAGAACACAACAATTGATCAAAATATGTTGAATGATTATAAGCCATCGCCTCAGAAGAATTCAATGAAGAATTGCTACTGTAGAGGCGTAATTAGGGTTACAAGAATATTATTAAAAGTTTTCAAAACATGATGCATTCATGCACCTTAAATACTATAACACTAGAATTAAATGACAGGTGGACACGCTCAACCCAATAACAAAATAGACAAAATAAAAGGCCAATGACGCAACATGATATCTTCAACAATCTCCCCCTTTTGCATTAATTAAGGCGAGAGTCCATCAATGCTAAGTTCACTTATGCACTTCAAAAACTTTTAGAATGCGCATAGCAGAAAATTACGAACTACAATTTACCAATGAACCATATCAGAAAAGCACTTTTTGTTTCCCTTGTTGTTGCCCTTGAATTTTTTGACCAATTCCAAAATATATTCCTAGAAAGAGGTAGTGTACAGGTGTTTTTTAGGTAGAAAGAAACAAGCCTTGTGAAAGTCTGCATCATTTCCTTCCCGTGCCTTAAGTACAACATACAATCCTTCTTTGTAAATCTTTCCAAGCTTCAACTTCTCAAAACCTTCCGATACCTCTTTAGGGAGAACAGAGGGATTCCTTTGTAGTACATTAGCTATTTCCATATCCATTTTCCCACCTGTTGAATATACGAAACAATCATCAGCTTGAGGTGAGCGATAATGGGCTCGTACTTCTGTACATCTCTCAGTAGTAAATTGTAAAGCATGATCCAATCATAAGGATTAAGAAAAGGCATGTCTGTGTGAGTGAATTCATGAACCTAACTAGTAGAACCTCTCACAACCTTGAACTTCGCTTTCGGAAAGTTGTCGATTTTGATTGGACCTATGACCTCCACTACAATAATCTTGCTAGCACTCAACGTTTTGTATTGTGGCTTCATATGCTTGAGATAGAATGAGAAGAGCAAATGGTCAGCTCCTTTATCAGTGGATGGGACATTTGCTACTATTACAAAAGAGTGAAACTTGAAAGCTTTTGGAGTCATTGGGAGATCCGGTTGTGAATCTTGTGTATTCTGAAGCTCAAATGATAAAGTGGTTCTAGCTAATATTGACTCGGTAAATCGACGACTTTATTCTGAATTCGTTGCATAGTCCACTCTAGAAAAAAGAGCTTTTGGCTTTCAAGTGTGATCTGAGATTCTCTTTATGATTTCTATTTTGCTTCAGCCTCTCAGACTATCATTTGATGCTCATCCATTTCAGCTTCACGTGCTTTTCTTCTTTTGAGCTCGTTTTCATCAGGCTCTTTGTCTTCACTGTGATCAATGATAGGTTCTTTAGAGAAAAGTTTTTCTTTACCTTTAGAATCAGATTCACCTTTGACAATGGGCTTGGCTAAAGGTTTAGGGTCATGCTTCTTGGATTGTTCTCCCCTTGTATCGGAATGTTGCTGGATTCCGGAAAACCTTCCAAACGATGAAGCATGGCGAAGATAGGCCTTAGTTTCTCAGCAAGATGTTTCCTCACCATGATTGTAATCATTGAGTCCTTAGTCTCAATGATATACGAAAGCATGCTAGTAACATCTGTAATATAGCTTTTCATAACTGCTTTCTCGGATAACAAACTATTGACTTGTTTCTCAGCATTCTCGAGTTTGATGGTCAGGACTTTCACCTTTTCAGTCTTTGCTTCCAAAGCGTCCATTATTTTTCTCTCCATTGCGAGATCATCTTGATGCCTAGATAACTGCGAGGAGATGGATGATTTGAGCTCAGCATGGTTAGATTTAGGACTAGTGTGAACCTCTTGAAGTTTCACCTTCTCAGTTTTAAGGGAGGAGCCCAGGCTAGAAATGACTTCGTTTGCCTTTGCTGTGTTGGACTCAAACAAGCTCTGACTTCTCCATGAATGTAGTAGCATCATTAATTAGTTTATCAACTTTTTCGGTCATGTCGCAGATAGTGGCAGAATCATCCACCGTCTTGTTCATTTTCTCAAGGTTGGGAGTGTGCTCTTTGGTTAGTGTCTCAAAGAGGGACTTCACGGTTTCTTGAAAAAAAATCATTAATTGATGATGCCTTTGAAGCATGAATCAATGAGTCCAATTTTCATGTATGGCCTTGAGTTGCCCTCTCGTGACGGGAGTTCCTCATCGCTTTCAGTCCTGATGTTGAAAGGACTATAGGTGAATCCTTCGAAGTCTACCTCATCATCCCCATATATCATGTCTGAGTCGTTTTGGTGGAAAGAGAACTGGGTGGTGAGATATGACAAGTTGTGAAACGTAAATCTCCTGCCCCCGCATCCGATGCATTGACGGAAACCATAGGCTTAACAGTTATAGTAGGTGTGGTGGTGGAATTAATGAAAATTGGTGGGGGGTGCGAAACATATAATGAGACAGGTGGGCATAGGGAAATAGTGATTGGAGTGTAAACATTAGCAGTGGGAGAGGGAACAGAGACAATCTCAACGAAGACAGTAGAAATTGGAACTGAGACACGAAGCGAAACATTTACCTCAGGATTCATTGGAATTGGCTGCGAAACCTCAAGTTGTGAAGTTATTGCGGTGTCTTCATTTTGTACAGACACGTCCCCTTCAACGCGAACGTCTAATTGACTGTCAGAGTGTGAATGTTTGCTTTCACTGGGAGTAGGAGATTTGGGCTTGCGAGTTGCCTTCTTTATCTTTCGCTTCTTTGATGGAATAGGAGTTACAACAGATGAACTAGTTTGAACCATTCGTTTCTTGGGGGTTTCGCAGGCTCAGATGGAACCTATTTATCACTCTGTTTCTATTCATCTTTCTTGTATCCTTTCTGACCCCTTTCTTTGGTTTATCAGCTTCAACAATAATCGATTGCCTCTCAGGAGTTAATGGATTAAAAACTTGAAGCAAAAATTAACCGGCAGCCTTCAAGGATCTTGCTAGCAGCAGGCACATCACGAAGCATGGATTTCAGAATCGAACCAACAAATGCAAATTTGGAGTTTTCAGCAAGAATGATGCCTATTGTATGAAGGATTGAAATAGAGTCCATCAACGAATATTGCGTAACTGGAATTTGAAGCTTGTCGATTTCCCTTTGAACAATGACAGTCCAGAAACATGCACATGAAATTTCCCTATGATGGGCAATAAAAGGGTACTTTGAATAACTTGTGCGCGACTTAACAACTGTTACGTCATAAACGTACGTCATGCGGCGGTAAAGTAGAAGTCCGTTCAAATTTTCACACGTCCATTTGAATTCCTATCTACAAGAAATTGTCGCGTCAACTTCAGCCTTTCACAGTTAAGTTGCATTCCACCTGTCGCATATAGCTACAGACTTTCGGTTTTAAGCAAAATTGAATTGAACTGCGGAACTAAAAATAAGTGTGAGTAGCACGAACCAGACTTTTTGAAAACCGCAAAGATCTTCGTGCGAGAGTGTGTCAATGATAAATAAATAAAGCAAGATATATCTGTGGGATTTTAGTGATGTCTTGTTTAAGACACGAAACAGTGGATCCCGGGCATAAATCTCTTCCTTCGAAGTCAAGAGAGACTAAGAAGTGTCAGTGTGGTTCCCCGTTCAATTATGATCAGCTGTTTGAGAAGAAACAGTGAAAGACATCTTTTCTTTAGGTTTACATGGTAGCTTTATCTTTAACCAAACTCCAAAACTTGATATAAGTACTAACGTTCAGATGAAGTGCTCGTGTGACCAGTGTAGTCAGTTGAACGAGTAGCTTTGGAATTATTTTAGTGACTTGGATAGATGCAGAAATCTCAAAAAATAAAAACTGGATCTTTTGGGTAGAAACGTCTTAGGTCTTGACCATTTCATTAAGATCTTGCAAAAGAAAAATAGATTTCTTAGTAAAGTGCGGGAAAGTGGATTTTCGTTAATTCTTTGGTGAAAAATCTACAACATGTAATTGTTCACAGTCAATTCATAAACGTGTGTTGAATTTTGAGTTTCACTCAGTTCATGGTTGTACGAAACTAAGATCATTAACACAGATGTTGTGTAACCATAAACCTCAGTGGTAATTTATGAGACTCAAGGGTTACGATCATGAATGAGAAAGTCATGGAGAAACGTGGAGATGGTTCCAAAGAAATGAATGTACCTCTGCTATGTGAAAGTTACCAAGCAGACAACTCTTAACTCAAAGTGAGAAGAGTAAGGTAGCTCATTACTTATGTGAATTTGCAGCCTGATTGGGAAGAAACAATTGATAGAATCGATTCATTAAGGCTTCAACACAGAGTCGTCGAGGATTCAGACAACATGCAACGACATGCTTCTAGTGACACTTATATAGTAAATAGGTAAAGAGAATTATATCTACCTCATCATGTGAACTTGAGACTGATTACGAATGTGTTCCTTGAAGCGCTTCTCAATTATCTATTATTTTTGATCTTTTATATTTTTTTGAAAATAAAAGAAATAAAAATAAACACAAAGAAAATATTTTTGTATTTTTGTTTTTCTGAAAAAGAAATAAAACAGAAAGAAATAAAATAATTTTGAATTTATGGATTTTCTAAAAACGAATAATAAAAAAAACAGAAGTAATTCAAAACGAAATGGTGATAAAAGATAATATACATAACATACAAAAGGATACAGGATGATCCAGATCACGAATGAACAGTAGACTGTAAGTCGCTGCGAGTGTTCACATTGATTCGCAGTGTCAAAGTAGACTGTCAATTAGTGCGAGCATTTTCACCGATTCGCAGCAATAACTTTATGAATACGAAAGTGGTTTCAGAACAGATTCAGCTTCCATCATTCCTAGACCTTGAAGAATTCTATTGAAGGTTGTTTCAGGTAAGGTTTTCATGAATATGTCCGCTAAATGATCAGCGGATCTCACGAAATGTATTTCAACATTGCCATCTTCCACATGATCCTTGATAAAAGGATACCTCAGTGCTATGTGTTTCGACTTTGAGTGTTGCACTAGATTGTAACAAATGTGGAAGGCACTTTCGGAGTCACAATATAATGGGATTCGTTTCATATTCAGCCCATAGTCAAGAAGTTGACCTTGAATCCATATGACTTGGGAAGTGCATGAGGCAACAACAATATATTCAGCCTCAACTATTGACAAGGAAACAAATGCTTGCTTTTTGGATTGACAAATGACAAGTTTCCTATCAAGAAATTGATATCCTCTAGTTGTACACTTTCTATCTAACGCGCATCCTACAAGATCAGCATTCGAAAATGCTTGCACAAAGAAATTGGATTTCGATAGGTATGATATTCCAAGTGAGGACGTTCGGTTTAGATACCAGAATATGTTCTTGACAGCCTTCATGTGAGGTTCTTGAGGATTCTATTGAAACTTAGCATAATAGCAAACGAAAAACATGATATCTGGTCGAATAGCAGTTCGATACATTAAAAAACCTATCATTTGATGATAGAGTGTCATGTCTGCAGCTGGTTTATCCAGAGAAGGAGTAAGTTTCGTTCCGAATGCCATGGGAACTTTCCCCTTTGAGTCACATACCATCCCAAACTTAGCAAGAAAATTCTTCGTGTAAGCTTCCTGATTAATAAAGAAACCTTTGAGTCACATACCATCCCAAGCTTTGAAGTTCGTATGCGTTGCATATGCCAAGAAGATGCGAACGGATTCCAACCTTGCAAGTCGTGTGAAGGTTTCTTCGTAGTCGATTCCTTCTTCCTGACAATATCTCTTGACAACGAGTCTTGCTTTGTTTCTAATTACATTGCCTTCTTTATCCAGCTTATTGCAAAACACCGATTTTAAACCTACAACAGATGCATCTGGTAGAGTGGGAATCAACCTCCAAACCTTGTTTCATTTGAACTCATTGAGCTTGTCCTGCATTGCATGCACCCAAAAGAATAATCGAGAGCAACATTAAAAGTTTTGGGTTAGATCTTGGATACAAATGAATTAAACATATAAAATTCCAGTTTAGAGAATAATGTAGTTTGTTTCTCTTTTTGCTGGGATCTCGTAAGAACTCCTGTTGATGATTCGATAATGACTTGGGTTTTCAGATGATCTCTGGTCCATTTGGTCAGTAAAGGGTAACTTGGATCATAAGCTTGGTCGAATTCGGCATTCACCTCCTTGAATTCTGATTGTACATCCGAATCATCCTTCGTATCTTCATTCTCCCCCTTGAATGATGATAGATCCTCCATTGCAGGAATTGAATTCTCCCCCTCGAATAGACTTTCGTGGGTCATCCTAGGTGAAGAATTTTCCCTTTGGATAGGTGACTCAGGTGTAGAGGTTGATGGTGAACCCTCTCCCTGCAATGTAGTATTTGCTGCTTGTGGTGCTTTCGGACTATGGGGTTCATTCTTTAGATCTTTCACAGCTTCATTGATTATTTTATTTAGTCATCCTCTTTATTGTCTACTGCTTTAGAATATGATGAAATGGCCTTTGTTGGCTTGTCAAATAAAAGTATGAATTATTTGTAGAGATTATCCAGTGGAGTAATTGCTTGATTCGCTTGTGGGAAAATATCCTTTGATTAATTCATAGTCAACTGATACCTCTTTAGATAATTACCCTAAAATATGACATAAGAGGTGTCTTCTATATTTTTGAACTTCTTATTAAGAACCCTATATGCCTTGTATGTTAGCGAATATCCTAAGAAAATACCTTCAGCAGCCTTCACATCGAATTTGTTTCTTTGATGTTTTGAGTTGAAAATGAATCAACAAGAACCAAAAACTTGGAAAAACCTAACATTGGGTTTGCATTTATTCAAAATTTCATAGGTAGTGACGGAAAATAGCTTGTTGAGAATTCAGTGATTTTGGGTGAAACAAGCTGTTCCTAATTACATCAGCTTATAAGTAGAGTGGCAGATTCACAAATAAGAGCATGGTTCTCGTAGCCTCACACAAAGATTTGTTT